AATACCTTTCCCATTAACACTGGTGAGCAAGAGGATAATTGACTTTTAACTGAGATCTGGGATTCTCACATGCTGACATTACAGAACCACATGCATTAAACAGAAAGAGCTGGGTGGGAGCCAGACAAAGAAAGGAGACAGGATTTTCCAGTCACCAGTGGCTGCCAAAGGAAGGTGATCAGATTTCCTGGGATCCCCTCACAGACAAAGCCTGACCTTGAGAACCTCCTCAAAGCAGCTGCTACATCTGTGTGTTCCAGATGCAACTGTTCTACCAATAGAGGAATTATCAGTGCCCTCTTTAAAGAAATGCAAGGGCTCAGACTAATCTCTAAACAGAACTTCAATAGGCTGAAACACCAACATTTCTGAGCAGCTCATCAAACAAGTGCACAGATGGCTAACTCTTCTGCAACTCTGACCTTGAAAACAAAACTGACTCCAGGTTTATTTACCCCTCTCTTTCCCATTGACTGAATGCACTTATGTGGTGTGTTGTGAAATTTTAAATTCTTTGGGGCACAATCTCAGTTTCTCTAAGTTCTGGAAGTTCTTACTCTGTAAAATCAATAGGGTTGTGAAGTATTCAAGCTGGCTGTAGCTACCCTGTCTGACATGAACTACAGCATATACTATAGAAGCATGGTGTTTACATTGTTTGGTGTTTTTTTGCTGCCATTGAGAGCTCTACCACTGATCTGTGGAGCAGCCTCAGACATCTCCCTTCACTGAGGCTGCTGCTCTTTGGGGAGGGCCTTTTCTCACACTCTCAGGCAGGGGCTACCCTGATCCACGTTTCACTCTTTAAACATGCTGTCATGCAAATCACTGTTTCTTCAGGACCATGAAAAGACTCAAGATGCAGAGACACAGGACTTTTCCTTACTCTGTTCTGACTCATAACTTCATGGGAAGCAGTGGAAGATGGAAACTCAAAGTCAGTCCCAGCCCAAGTACCTAAAGGACTTCATAAACCTGAGAAACATATTTCACAGGGATATTAGTGAAAATAAAATGTGTTATTGCAAGAATTTTCTGCCAGGGAATAAAAGCAAGTGCAGAGCCCATATATTCAGGGGCAGGGAGGAGGTTTGGGAAGGGAAAAGTCTCCAGTACAGCCTCAGAAAATACAATTCATCTCACTGAATAGGAAAGGATATAAACATCCATAAAGTAATTTCTTCCTCACCATGATACCAACCTTTTAAGCAAATAATGTTGATGAGTTAATTCCATTATTGCCTATCAGAGTGATTAATATTGCCTGACTGTCCCTTTGCAGTGCTCTCTACCATCTATGTACTGTCTTTCATCTTGTTAATTGATGGCTCTTTGGGTCAGGGACTGTCTGAGGGTTACATTTGGGCTATGGGTCTGTGCCTCAGGATGAAGCACTATGGGAATACCTTGTTCTGCCGGCTCTCCATGTGCTGGGGTTCACCAGCATCTTGTGCTTCCTTCTCCTGCAAAATTATCAGAAAACCTTCTTGTGCAGGAGGAGCTGTGCAAGGACTAGGCATCACTTAGTCGCAGTTACTCATAACCATGTTCATTCCTTTTGAGCCACATAAGAAGTACAAAGAGAGAGCATGATATGTCCCACCTAGCCCTGGTTTTTTTTTCATCATTTTTTGATGAGCAATATTGCTATATCTAAAATGAGAAATAGTCCCACCAATCATATTTATGAACCATTTTTATAATCAATTGTTCCAGATTTTCCGAGAAAAAGAAAGAAATGAGAATTCACAAAAAAAACCTGACACAGCTGGAGTTTTGATTTAAATAGTATGACTTGCTATTTAAATATACTCTAAGCAAATACTATAAGAAAGACTTCTAAGCTACTTCAATAATTTAAACTGCAATCAAGACATTAAAATATTGGTTTTAAAAGTGCCTCTGTGGTAAGTAGGGAAACAGAAGTGCTAAGTAGTATGCAGGGAAATAGATTGGAAAGAAACAAGAAAAACAAAGAGAAGATGGAGCAGAGAGGGACACCTGAAATCCTGCAAGCTGTGTTTGTTGTCCCCCATGAATTAGAGAGAAAGAAATTAGAAGGCCCAAGCCCTATCCCACAGCAGCTGCTGCCACCTTGATGTCAAGGGCAGATGAAAAAGGCAACAGTATCAGGGCAATTTTGCCATCTGCTTTGCCAAAGTCAGCTCTCCTGGAGCCCTTCTGAGCCCTCTGAGAGGTTTTGTTCATGTTCCCAACTGTGGCAGACATATATCTACATTGTTTGAATAATGTGTCCTTCCTGCATGTTCCCACTTGGCCAGCTGACCGTGAAGAAATGCTCAGCCAACAAAGCTATTCACTGCAACAAGATGCTCTGCTTGAGATTTTCTGAAGCAGAGATATAATCTGAAATTGTGCATCCATCTTAAAACAATTAACTGGCAGGGTGCAGTGAAGTTATCTAGAGTACAGACAACAGAAAAGTAGTCTAAATATTCATACATTATTTATATTATGAATATATAAGATTATGCACCTTCTTGTGTCCACAAGCACTACTTGAGCTTTATGCCATTTTTTGTTCCATAAATGGCTTATTGGGCTAGATTTTTAACCAAACACTATTTCCTTAAAAAAGTAAATTATGAGCCATCAAAAAAGAGTGTTTACTCATACCCAAAAATTTGATTCAAAGTTTTGTTCACAAGAACAAGCAGGAACAGGAATTTGAGGAGAAAAAACAGCTGAAACTCCTAACATTAACAATTCACCTGTGAGCTGCCAACCAGAGTTCACACAGTTACTCAGCACGTGGCATATCCATTTTTCATTAGGAGAATCCAACCAATCCTTTTCACTCTAGGAAAAGCAGAACACTGGGAAAATTAATATGTCTCTTCAGATGGATTTTTTTTTAACACCAGGCTTATAATTCAGGATTGGAGGACATTGTTTTTGGCCAGGAGCATCACAGACCTCTTGAGGTTCCTTCTGTCCCTGAAAACCAGTCATACTTAGGTCTCTCCTCTCTTCTGTGTGGGCCTAGCTTTTTACAGATACATAGTATTCCAGTTTTTGAAACCAAATTATCCTGATTTATGAAGTGTTGATAGCCCTATTTATCTTGAATAAAAGGACTTCAATGTCATCATGTGGAAGCAGTGAGGGAGGGAATTCACCCAGACAATATTATACAGAATATGCATATTTTGAAGGTTTTTCCAACAGTTGGCAAGTGATAGACAAGTCAGTCCTTAACTATCAAGCAACAAGTCCTGTCCTCACAAGAGATGTGTTTACACAAAGGAGAAAACATTGGATTTATTTCTGATTTAGATCAATTCTCTTCCTTTGTTTAACAGAGGAAAGAAAACAAAACCTATTTAATACTCCAAATACACCAAGTAGCCACAAAAAAAGTGTTTTGGATTCTGCAAAATGACTTGTAAGCGTGAACACAGCATTTAAATTGTATCAAAATTGAAGTTGCCCATCCTCCCCAAATCAGGTTTTTCCATTTTAGAATGAAGGTATATTCTTCTTCACTGTTCCCTAAGGTCCCTTTCACCCAGTCATTTCAGCATGTTGATAATGACAGCCAAGTCAAGGAATGAAAATAGAAGGCAGCTGGTAAGATAATCCTGGACGTCATCCGGATGCAAGTGAAGCATGAACATCTAATTCATTAAGGGAGTGGGAGGATTAGGGTGGTGCTGAGCATCTATTCTGTTTAATTTGACATTCCATTAATTTCATCTCTCAGTGGACAGGACAGGAGGTGCAACATAATTATAGCTCAGAATCTGAAACCTCTGGCATGTCTGAAGACTTAGTTTTGTGGCAGTTGGCTGGGGGGAGTGTGGCAAGAGCTGAGCAGACTTTGTGCTTGCTGTACCAAATACAACTGCATGTAGGACTGGTGAAGTTCTCCTTGGAGATCAAAGACACTGCCTCTGTATAGCAAATGACTTTCCAAGAGCTTTGAGACCAGAAACTTCCAAGCATGCTTCACAAGGTGAGTCTATTTTGTATCAGAAAAAATAGCTGCTTTAAAACTTAGATGGAAGAGGTAGGATCCTAAATTTCTTCTCAGAGTGAACAACATTGCTGAAAACACAAACCCCTGTTCCCAGTGAGCCTCTTTTCCTGCACAGCTACTCAAATAGTCATGATGATTCACCAGCCAAATCCTGCTCTGAACAAATGTTCAACTGCAGCAAATCCACAGGCCCTGTTCTGACATGTATTCAGCTTTAGCAAGCAGTGTGCATATCCTACCTCTCTGGAACATGTGGGATGCAACGTTTTCACAGGAGCTCTTGGGAGAAAGAAATACCGGAAAACATCTGGCCCCTCACCTCTAAGCATCAAAATAAATGACCAGATTTTTCAAGGCTCTCAAAATACATCAGCTATTTGGGGAATTTGAGAATTTGAGAAGACGTTCCCAATGCCTTACAGCAATACAAACAAACCCTTTAACATGTCTCTCACTCCAGATGACATCTCACCTTGAAGTCACATCAGATTTTATTTCTTCGACTGAGAGGTAGATGTGTGAAAAGATGTGTAATAGGGCCTCCACTAATATGTTTCTCACAGAAAAATTGACATCTTGATACCATATTGATTTAGTCTATTGGACACCACTGGCTATCACAGGCACAGTGTTAGAGTTATAAGAGAAAATCTGACTCATTAAAAATGACAAGTCACAGTACCGAGACATTTAGATAAACTTAGGATATACAAACAGACAGACATTTTAACTGCATTTCAATGTAATTAGCTGAAGGCTGGCAGCCATATGGACAGTATTAGAGACAGAAGCTCTCAGTTAACTCATACAGCAAACAAAGCATGAGGAACTTGTCATCACTGTCCGTCACGTTTTGTATCCGCTGGAGTCAGAGGCCTCCTGCATTCAGACTGCAGCCCCTGGCTAGGTAACCAAACAAAGTGACTGTGACCTTTGGTCCTACTGTACATATAAGGGCCTGCTGGAACTGAATGAAGACATTTGAAGAGGTAAAACCCACCTGGCAGATGAAACCAGTGGATGAGCACTGCCGAACCCAAAGACTGAATTTCCTCTTTTTCCTCTTGCGCAGCTCCCTCTCTGTACAGGTCGCAATGAAAACAGGATCCTCATCTATCAGGGGCTCATGTAGCACCTGCAAGTGGCAAGAAAAGAGGCGGGGAAAGAAACAGAAGAATACATGATTGCTAACAAAAAGGTGCTTTAATTGCTTTCAAGGAAATACAACCCTTGCACTGTGCTTTATGTGCATCACCCCAAAGAAGCAAAACCCACTTTTGTTTGATGTTACCATCCAACAAAAAACAAAGCCTGGCCAAGCACACTCCATTATGGATAGCTGCTCTACACGTAATTTGCAAACACTGCAAGGCACAGCTCTCACTTCTTATACTATCTGCTAGAGTTCAACATCCCTCCAAAATGATACAGTGCATGGGGCAGGGAGAGTGGATTTTTAGAAGCATTTTACCATGCTTCTTCATAAGCTTCATATTGTTTGGCAGAATGTCTTCCACCCAAACATCCCCTACAATTCATTGTAAAGTACATTCCTTGGTTATAGCAAAGGAAAACACATAATAAAGAGAGAGAGAAGGTAAGGGAGAAAAAGATGCTTTCTGCTACCACTTAAGGAGGTGGTAAAGAGACAGAAAATATTTTTCCTAGGAGCAGCAGCTTTAGGGAAGTCTGTCTTGCCTCAGGGGCTGAAAAGTTGACAAAAGGAGACAAGGATAAACCACCAGAGGCAGGAGTAGAAAAGATAAAGCAGACTGGAGCAAGTAATGAAGACCTGTGAAAGTGAAGCAGCTTCTGCATTCTGCATCTAGATGACGTAAGCAGTTCCCTGTTTTGTTACACTCCTCTCCATTAATTTAGCAGCAAAACTGAAGTGTGATACTGCTAGGTATGACACTGTGGAACTCACCTATAGAAAAGCACTAGCAGCTCCCCACAGCTCACAGGCAGCTGTGCATAACAAACACATACCTGACTGCACAATGTGCAAGTTGTCTAGCAAGCCACTTGTGAAAGTACAAAGACTTGCAAACTGTTGAAAAGTCTCAGCTGATGAATGCTGACCAAACTCAGACATGTACACCTAAATCAGAGCAAGTCATTGCAGGCTCCCCTCCTTGTACATGCAGGGAAAGCAGTCCCAGCAGGCCATAATTCATGCCCTTGTAAAGACATGCAAAAGAGTCAGATGGGTTATAATTTAAAGGAGTCTGTTCTTTTCCAGTGACCATCCATCCAGGAGACTGGCTCAGATACAGGTATGAAAAGGCTCCCACCCTCAGACAAAGCCTTTCCACACATGCATGTGTGCTACTTTTGTGCACATCTGTACAGTCAGTGGCAGAAATGAGAACAAAGCCACACTAGGAGTGATGCTTGTCGGAGAGATGTGGTGGATGAGCAGTTAAGCACCAGAGATGAGCAGCTGCTGGTCTCCTGAACACAAGATGCTTGCTGAACATCACTCTGTCAGCCCAAAATAGGCACATGTGCCACGCCCCTCCTCCCCCCCGCCCCGCAGTGATGGCTGCACACTGTCATTAATATGCACTCCACTTCTTAACGACTCATGAAACATTCACAGGACCATCTGAAAGCACTCTTGTGAAATGTTCAAATTATACACCAAAATGCAGATGTGAGCAAGGAGAGCTGCACACAAAACTATTTGTTCTTCCAGCTGCAGCTGCCCTGTTTCCCCACTGAAGCCACATCTTCCTCCCTCATGGTTCAGAACAGAACCCTTCCTATCTAAAGGCCATCTGGGGCATTTCCTCCTTCTGCTTCTAATTCTGCCAGAATCAGAGGATTCTGAACAGCATTTTGCAAATATTAAACTTGCCCTCATTCGCTTTTGCCTTTCTGCTTCTCAAGTGCACAGGGAAGGAGCACATCCTTTGGGATAGGGTTGGATACATAGCTAAGAATTTCTCAGCTTCTGGAAAGGCTCTCTTACCAGCTAGATCCCATTGAGTGGTGTGGTTCCACTGTTACAATCTTCCCTGCTGTAGGATGGAGAGCAGCAGAAAGAAGAGGCTGTATAAGCGTCACCTTAAGACATCTTCTACCCTCTGTCATTAGTTTCTTTCCCTCTGCACCACAGCATCAACTCTCCTCACAGCAGCTCTACTGCATCCTGTTTACCCTTCACACTCCTTCTACCTTCTATGACACCGTAAGACCCGTCAGCCTTACATCTAGAAAGAAAATCTGAATATTTAAAACCTCTCTCCATCTTCCTTTTCTTCCTGCCCATGCTCAGCCCAGCCTTCCCTCCTTCGTTCCTCTGTACTGAATTTAAGTAATTTCTCTGTAAGTTCCAAGTCAACTTTTGTGAAGAGGGAATAAAAATGTGAACAGGTTAGAGAAAGATCTGCTGTTGCTGCAGAGACAAAATGTGGACAGGCAAGGAAAATTAACTGAAAACCCTAGAGCTTCCTTCAGAGAGTAGGGGACAATGGGTTTTCACCCCTCCACATGCAACCACTGCTTCAACACCTGTAAAGAATTTTGCAAGCAAGGCACTGTATGGGCTGTGCCTGCCCCTGGCACTGACACAGTGGTTTTAGGACAAAAGTTAGCCCTGTTGCTACTGGCCCATCCCAATCCATTAGTTTGTTCACCCTCCTGTATTCTCGGTCTCCCTGCTTTTTCTGTAATCTCAAATCCATCTATTTGCCAAATCGCCATGCAAAGTTATATTTGCTCCCTCTCTATTCCCCATTTTTGCTGCTGCTGCAATACACACTTTTACAGGAGTGAGCTTACCACCCCCATAGCCTATTCTTTCCTGCTTCTCATCTTCCTTGATAAAAATCTACTTTCAGGCTTAATTACTCCTACATGTATTCTGGCCGCCTCTTCACCATCTTTTTCTCACTCCCCAAGTGCTCCACACTTCCTCTTCTGACTTCCTATGATGTAAGATGGTTTGTGGATTTCTTCATAGAAATCTCAATTTTCTTCTCTCAAATTCCCAGTTCTGTTCAGATCTCAGAAGCTCATCATCTAGTTGTTTTGTTCCCCCACTGCTATCCCTTTCCTTTCCCCTTTCCTTTCCTTCCTCCTTTCCTTTCCTTTTTTATAGTAATCCTTATTTATCCCTGATAGACCTACCTGCCAAACTTTCATTCTTTGTTCTCCCCTCAATATGTATTTGCACTCCAAGTGTTGCAAAGGCAAGATTCCAAGATGGGACTCCATCAATTGCTCTGTCTCACAATATCTTTCACTCACAGAACAGAACAGCCACTGTCAGGAGCGCGTTTCTGTCTTCTCCATTTTAGACCATTTCCAATGCTCTTTCCACACCAAAATTCCACCCATCCTCTCTCACCAGAATCCAAACAGGCTTGTAGACAAAGCCCTGAATCACTAAGTCTTTTGTACTTGGAACTCCTGGACTCCATATACTTAGATAATGACCCAACAGATCCAGAAAACATCTCCCCCTGAGCTCCATGGCCATCCACAACACAGGCTGTCTCTTCAGCCTTCACCCTCCTCTCTTCTCCTGTCTCCTGGAGAAGCTGCTTCACCTTGCCTTGTCTCTGACTTTTGGATACCATCCAGTTGCAGAGGGCCCTTGGTAACTGTGTCTGGATGCACAGTCAGTCATTCCTCCTGCAAGAGTGGCTCGTGCTTCTACCTCTCTGCTCCAAAGCTCCGCCTGTCTAATCTAAATTCTCTTGCTGGTGTCTGACATCTCTGCTTGCATATCTAGCTGCCAGTTCTGATTCCATTATGCTGCATTTGAGAACATCTCCCTTCCCTTAAGAACCCCTCAGTATTTCCTTTTTTGGTCATTGTAGATGTCCCTCTCCTCCTGTATTGCTACAGTTATCACTGGCTAGCAAATTTGAATGTCAGTCTTTACCTCCTACTTGCAAAATCTCCTCAGCCAGGCAATGCCTGTATTTTCCATGCTTTCTGAGTAAGAGCTCTAAAATGGCACTCATTTTAGAGTAACAACCCACCCACCCAGACAAGTTTACATCAAAAACCCACAACCATCCTGCAACAGTTTTACTTCTCCTACAGACTGCTGCTGGAAAGCCATTTTCCTAGTCCATCACACTGACCACATCACTTTTCTTTATTTCTCTCTCATAGTACTTCTCCCGTACATCAGACAGATTCTTTCTCTTCGCATTTTCAAATTCAAATTTTACAGATCCTCTTTGCCATCTTTCAAAGGTTAACTCTGACCCCCAGTGGAGCCATGATTCCATGCTCCTCTGCCCATTTGTTCAGTCATCAATCAATCCTCTTAAAAAACAAAAAGTCAGTTCTTACAGAACTCCATTACCATTAGGTAATTTAAAAATAGCAATGAATTTTCATCATTTTCTGTTGCCAAACTCTCCCTAAAATCTGGCTTCACGGAAGGATCAACTGGCCAAGAGCTACAGGATATCAGAAATTTACCTTGCTACTCAATATTCTTATTGCTCCTCTGTCTGTCTTTCTCTTGCTCAATGCCTTATACTTGGCCAGCGTTCTCTGCAGATTTATGTATTTGTGTCACACTCACAGAAGCACTAAGACAGAATGATTCTCATTTGGGATCAGCACCCTCAAGTCCTAAAGAATAATTTTGAGAACAGGAAAACTGAAATATAGAGGTACAGCACAAGCAAAGTCTTATGATTTGAAAATACCTAATATCAAATGAACATTAAAGCATGAGGACAGAAAAGCAAGTTGACCAGCCTGGTTTTGCCCCTCTGTGTTCTCAAAGAGGCTGTCATCTAAAGCTGTGAGCTGGTTAGGAAGAGCTATGGTGAAACTGCTTAGCTGTACCCTATGATACCACCAATAGTGAAACACAAAGAAGCTGCCCAATAACTGGCCAAAGTTGAGCACCGTGCTCTTAGAGCAAGAGGTTGGACTCACTTCTCTCTTTTTGCCAGGGGATTCATTCCTGCTGGAGAGCAGGCGACTGTTCCCAGCTGATATTTCACTGGGCAGATGCAAAACTGTTTGGTTCCAAAACACCAAAGAGAAGGTACTTTAGAGGGAGAGGGAAGCAGAAAGAACCTGGAGTTATGCTCCTGACCTCTCCCACACCAGTCAGGGACAGAGACAGCAATACTGTCTAGCCACATCCTGCTGACGAGCATATAAATACTCAGCAGGCACAGAAGGATATTTGAGCAGTGATGTTATTTTCCCTGAACTCCTCTGGTTTCTGGAATTCAGTGTATATCCTTGGCAGGTAAGTACCCTTGAATTTGTTGCTCTGTACCTCCCGAGTGCAGGCAGGGCATCCTCTCTTCCTTCAGGCTTGCAGACAGTAGCACAGCTACAAAGCTAAGTAGCAAAGAAATAACAGTGCCTACAAGAACAAACCCAAATCACCACCTCTTGTTGCTCAGGTAGAGGTAGTGTTCATTTATACAGATGATGTCGAGAAGGGATAAGATGCACAGAATAGTCCTGTCATTTTTTTTTACCAATCTAGGTCAGAACACCATATTTTTGACTTCAGAAACTACAGCTAGCATTGCTGATACAAAATTAAAATGTTCTGGACTTGCAATTCCTGCATAATCTGGAGAGTAATTATTTCCTTTTGTTTGCTCAGTATATTTAGCAAAATAATTATAATTCACTAGATTGTTTTCTTTGTTTTGGTATACTGGCATAGTTTTTTCTCCCTGTTTCCTTTCATAGCTACTGTGGTGTTTTTACAGGCACATTTGGGCAGGGGGAGGTGTCACAGACAAGATTAAAACCCCTAAGTATTTTCTGACTGAAGTTACACTTGAAGAATCTTTTCTAGCTCTCAAAAAAGAAAATATCAACTCTATAGAAGAAATAACTTTGAAGGCAGATATTGTACTACTTGCTGGATGCAGATTGTCCCTGCTCTGTCCATTGGGGTGAGTTAAACACGGCATCTTCCTAATCCGTGTTCTGTGAGTCCACACTGCCAGAGGAAAAAATCAGTAACAAGCCTACCCATAAGCCCAAACAGCCCTGCTACATTCAACAGGAACTGTGATTTAGCTGTTTGATGCCACTTACAAGAAGGTAGCATAAAGCTCGTGTGTAGGAGAGATGGTGGGTGGGTCAGCAACAAGCCACACAGGTACCACAGCTCTCATGTTTAAGATACCTTAAGCAACAAATCCATTCTGAACTTGGGATTTCAGGTATCACTAATCACAGAAACCTGGGCCCCCTCTCCAATTGGCTTTCAGAGGCAGAACTTCCAAAAGAAAGAAAGTGGTTCTTTCCCCTCATCTTTCCATTTGTTTCTGTGCAACTGGTTTATTATTTTTAATTATTTCTGGTATTTCTCACTGGGTATTCTGGGTTTGATGTTTACTGCAGTCTGTATTCAAGACAATCTGCAGGGAGACGTCTTTCCTACTGTTTTGAGCAGATGGGGTCCTCATCTCTTGAGACAGGTAGTGTGCTGCCCTGACTGATGGCACCCAGGAGGATGTCACACACAAGGCTCCTTTCAGAAGGAGGCCTGGAACACCCCCCAGAAGCCAACTGGAGGCACACTAGGGTATTTTTAACAACAGATTCAAAACCTTATTCTTTCTCACAGAGTTATTTTTGAAGCTGTATTTTAGTGCTTTTTGTTCCACTCAATATCACTGAAACATGCTGCATAGAAATCACTGACGTAAACACTGACAAAGGAGCAGAGAAGTGGAGGAGGAAGGAAGAAAACTGGGCTGTTTCTACTTCTTCCCCCTTATTTTTTTTATGTAGCATCTCCTTACCAAGCTCAGGATAATAATACATTTTGCTTGTGAAGATTTAGATGTTTTGCCACTGCAAACAGGGTGCTGAGATTTTGTCGATTCAGTTTTCAAGCTTTGCTCGGGATGGGGAATGGGAGAAGAGATATACATGCAAATAAAATCTTATCCTTTAATGGATTTGCACTCACAGTATGTGCCACAGCACATCATTATAAGCATTTGCATTAGACACAGTGATCAGTTTCTGAAGCCTTTATCTTCTGCCCATTGAAGTCAGCAGCCATAAGGATTAGATTTCATATCTTTGAGGGAGCTCAGTCCCAACCGTTCCATGTTTTGCACTGCCTGTTTTGTCACCTGCTATTTATTTTAGGCACACTTCAATGGATGTGTAGCATCTATGCCTTCATTAATTTTGTGAAGTGGGCAAAAATGGGATGCTTCAGAGCGGAAAGAGGAAGAAAAAGAGGACTATGGACACAACACCCTTTCCAAATGCCTAAGTGAAATATTTATATTCTGGAAATAGAGAATTGATTGAAAAGTTGTATCAAGCAGTAACATATTTCATGCTTATTCCTTTTTCTTTCCAGATTTCTGAACACAACCAGTAGCAACAGCTTCAAAAGCAGATAATTTGTATTGAGCATAGTTTAAATAGATCATTATGAATATTAAACGATTTTCACCTGTCCCTCTTTCCAGTCATGAGGAAGCAGCAGTGTTACTGGACCATACAGCAAGCACCTACTGCTAAGGTCAGGGACAGTCCTGACTCTCTCAAACTCCTCAAAGTCCTCTCAAACTCCTCCAACCAACTCAGCCTGCTTCCCTCCAGCCCAGCTGCACCAGCTCTGCCCTTTCTACCCTTGCACAACCTGCAACCTCCCATCCTCAGGACAGCAAAACCTACTGGTGGCCAGCCTTACTGAGAAGTGTCCAGGCTTGTTTAGGTCACTAAAGCAAACAGCTCCAGCTCAGAGAGAACCACTGAAACCTGTTTGGTGCCTGCACTGACAGACACTGATGAGCACTTGCACAGAGAGTGCTGCTCTCTCTCTTGCTTCATGGAGGCACTGCAGCACAGCTGCACACTGGGAAGCCCCAGCTTTCCCCAGGCAGCTGTGCTGTGCACTTTCTGTCCCCATGAGACAACCAGAGTGCACAGGTCAGACGTTCTCTCCAACAGCTTAACTCTTACCTGGGCTTGCGAAGGTCTGAAAGCAGAGTCGAAGCCATTCTGCAGAGAGTCCAGAAAAGGCTGGATTTTGTAGAGGCTATGCGTTGTCTGGCTCGAGCGGAAGGCCACAATGTGGAAGTACTTCAGAATCTTCTCAAACCTTGATTGTGTCATGATAAGTGCAATGCTCTTGTTGCTGTAGAAGCCGCTGCTCCAGATGCTGAGAACAGACTCACAGTGGTGGATGCTGGTTGATATCATGTAGCCTAAGAAGGCCTTCATTTCTGTCAAGGTGACGTCAATCCAGGTGTCGTCACTACCAAACCTCTCCTGGTATTTCTTTGCATACATATTGGTTTGGACCACCATATTCTTTAGTACATTGTCAGGGACAAAGAGCTGAAAAAAGTCCATGGCACTGGCAGTCAGCGGCATTTTTCGTGTCGGACCTAGGATAAAAGAAGGAAAGATAGGCACACTCCTGATAACCACAAGGCACATCCAATGCCAGAAATTAAAAGCATGATTAACTTTTCTTGTGTGAATGATGGCATGTACCCATTGCCTGACGGACTTCATCAGGAAACTTCCCCTTCCCCCTATATTCTCCCTCCTGTGTGATACTATACACTATGAAAAGTTCCTCCCTCTGCTCTGTGCGCTCATTACTTTACAGCATGCAGGCCTTCGCAGTGAGACAAGCAGGCATTTTATTTCTCCACTTACACAATATCTGCAACTTTTGTCCTCAGTAGCTTTGGACTCTTTCTGGATAAACTTTTATTTATCCATATGCATATCAAAGCAGTGCCTTCCTCCAAACAGCACAGAAGGACAATGTGAGTCCTCCAGAGACAGCACTGCCCTCATCCTAGATGACATAATTCCTAGGCTCTATAACTTGATCCCACCTTTTCCCCTGCACCTTTAATGCATTGTCATAATTCTGTGACTTTCATATCTGGCCCTGCTCCACACAGAGTCATATAAAGGTCTACGTGTTTTTGAGTTTTGTGCCTCTGCCACCATATTAGAGTTTTATCTTGCACTCTGATATCCCCAAGAAAACACGTTACCAGAACAAATCACAGCTACCATGTGGCTAGTGTCACTGTCCCACATCACAGGGAATATTTTTAGCACTGTAATGCATGCAGTGGTCCTCTTCCTCCCGTAATGCAATAAGCCTTGCAGTCCCATGCTGCAATTACTCTAGCATTTCACTGATCTTGCACCTTTCTCTGCCAGTTTCAACTACTCCATAAGAGGAGGGTGATAAAAACAAAAAGGAGGCTCTAAGGGCTGGCAGCACTGTATGAGTGTTACAAGGTCAGCCAGTCAGACACCAGATTACACTAAACTGAATTAGGAACATCAAACCCACAATACCAGGGATGCAGACATCAGTATTTAGAGCCCACTCCCCTCTAATCCCTCCTGCAAACTAACCAAGCTCCATTCTAAAAGTAGTAGTTTTCATGCTTGCATCTCATGGTAGTGTTTTAGTTACCAGTTAAGGGCACGGAATATTCTATATTCTACAGAAGCAGTGAAAACCAATACCCTGAGAGGAGCAGCCTCTTCAAACCCAGCAGACAAGGGAGCACTTAAAAGCAGCTCTACACCCCTGTGAAAAAGACAATGTCATGTGTATAATCTCAAACCAAGAGCTGGATCCAAGAAATACTGCACCTTAGTCCAGCCCAGCAGCCTTCAGCCCTGGGATTGTCTGAAACACTCCTCCTAATCAAAAGAAGGCATGCAACTTCTCATTTGGAGTTCTGCCCAACAAGAGCAAGTCTTTCTTGCACTACAGGGCTGTCTGGATCTCAGCATCAGCTCTCCCAGCTGCATCAGAGCATAAGATTGACCATTCCACAACCTGGCTCTGCAATGATCCACTAGCACATTGCTCAGGTTGCATTCTCCAGTACCCTTGTATCTCAGTTCACATTCCTAGTTACAGCAACAACTACAGCTTGCAGAAATTTTCCATGAAACAGAACTACAAGGAATTACACAAATACTGTGGTTGGACTTACTCATAAGCCTTAATGTTTGGGTTCACTCTGGTGAACTCAAGCTACTAGAAAGACAGCAAAAATAGCATCAAGACTTTGAAACAGTACACCTCCAGATTGCAAAGAATACCAAAAAAACCTGGACTTATTTTTTAATAAGTGCAGTGGGAAAAAAAAAAAAAACCATCTATTTAAAGATCAGTTTCAAATTCTAATTTGTGAGATTGAGAAACTTCCAGTTGAAAGCACATTCCTCTATATTGTAAGACGAGAAGAAAGAGCCTCACACAAACCATGTTTTGGTAAAGACAGAAGAGAAAATTTCTGTTTAAATGATAAAATATTTTCATTATCAAGTGAAAACTACGGGGCTAGAATAGATATATTTACTTCACCTTAAGTGCTAGTGCAATATTAAAGCAGCTTAACAAATGTTTTCTTCTTTTGATCAGGAGGTTTATTTTCTGCTAGCACTGGCTTAGACTGTGCACTGGCACTGACTGTTAGAACTCACAAAGATGCTCTACGCATGATTCTGTATCTTCATTCTTCCCCATAACTTAATCAAGTTTTTATATTCTATGGTAGGTATGGCTTTTTGATAACAACACATGGAACAGAGTGTATTCCTAGTTATATATGATACCTTGAGTAACTACTGAACTCAACTCCAGTATTCAGGCAACCTTCCAGGTAGCACACAGCGATAGTTTTCAAATAGTTAGCTAGTTTAGATAGGTTTTTTCTGGCTTCAGAAGCAGAAGCTGGGTATAGGGGTAATGTTATAAACTTTGTCTACAGCAAACAAGAATTCATAAAACATTAAGTCTTACAAAGTGAAATATGTTAATTTTGAGAGTCTTGGATATGGACAATAGGTACATGCTGGACTCCAGGGAGGTAAGAGCAGTCAGAAGCACAAAAAATGTGATTTTGGTGTAATTCAATTTTCAGCAACTGCACAAATTTACCTTGAAATGTGATAATGGAAACCTGCCAGGTATACGGGATACAATAATCCTTCCTTACCCAGCAGTCCTGCTCCAGACACAGAGAACCTGCTACCTCCTCTCCTTCCTGAAATAAATATACAAGCTTTGTATCTCATTGGTCATGCAGAACCCACACAGCTCTCAAAAAGCAAGCTGAATCACTTTCTGACTCAAACATCAACATAATTGTTGATTAAATAAAATTATGAAAGCCCCTGTATAATCTCATTGTCTTAAAAAACAGCCTTTATTGGCAAAGTGAGCACAACTGATTCATAATTTACTGATATTCAATATAACAAGAGTGACATTGAATTTCAGTAGGAAAAGAAGTGAATTTTTAACATGAATTGAGTTTTGCATAGTTAATAACCAGTCTAAAATATTTAAATATGACTTTCTAAATACACAAATATATCCCATAGAGAGAGACAACTGTCTGCATAAGGAACTTAAATAGCTAATTTGTACTTTTAAAGGATTTTTACATTTACTTAAATGGCACTTACCCAGAAAATACTGATATGAAGAGTTCAGTGTTTCATACATGCACTGTTTAGCTTTCAAAGCTTTACTCAGACAAATAAAAGAGTGGCTTTGCCCAGTTGTCCATTCTCAGAATGATTATACAATTATGACTGTAAGATTCAGATTTTTCTCTCTCCTCTGCTATAGAGTGTTTGCATGGAGAATATATTTACTTTCATAGGGTTTCTTTAAAAGCCAGTCAGGTTTCCAATACAGATTACAAAGTGCAAAAGCACCCTTGGAGTGTCTGAACATGCCGCCAGACCCAGTATTCCATGCACAGCCAGGACAGGGACAGAGCTCTACTGAGTAACCTCTGATTGGGCGGCACACACACCAGCACCAGAACTTTGGGCTTCCTCCAAGTGACCTTGCAGGATGTGGAAAAAGAAACAACTTCTGCTGTGATACAACCTACACACAGAAGCTCTTCTTCCTTCTCACTCTGTCTGCCAGCAAGTACTTGCTTGTGCAATCCACAGCAACCACCTTGCAAGTCATTACTGTTATTTTGACTAGTTGGTTCCATTTTCTCTTTTGCACTCAGAAGGAATGTCTCCCACAAAGAGACATCTCCGTTTGTAAGAATAGTCTCAAAATGAATGAAAAAAACTAAGCATGAAAAGCCATTTGTGTGTCTGTACTGGCGATCCGACTATGAAGCAAAAGCTGGCAGCTTGCCTTCATAGCATGTGCATTGCAGAGCCCGTTTTGGCTCAGCTCGGCTCAGGGCAAACTGCAGCTGCCTCGCTGCCTCTGATGTCTAGCAGGAGAGCAGGCTGCACACTCAACTTCTCAGCAAACATACCCACTGCAGAACACCCAGAACAGTTTATGAAAAAGTTCAGGTGGAACTTCAGGCAGCCCCTGCATGTCATCCTACAATCTCTGGTCTTGTCTCTTGGAGGGACCCCAGTGGTCACATTCTTCCCCCTGCTTCATATCACTTTCTAGTCTTCCTCGCTGAGCAACACATTAGGGAAAAAATAAGAATCCCAAGTGAGTGCAATGCTTTTTCCTTACTTAACTGGTTTGCAGAATTAATAATTTGAAAGCATTTTTAAAAGGCTCATGTATCCTTTCCAATTTTTTCTGTCCTGAGTACCAACCTGTAATTTAGTAGCTCAGAGTTCACAGACTCAGAATAAGGGATGGACAAAAGACGCAAAGTTTCAAAATGTACTGTAACCTATCAGTGCTTATAACATAGCATAAAAATCTTAAGAAGGTCAAAAGCATTGTTATTTTGGGCCGGATAAATCATATATGTAAGGAGAAAATGCAGTGAAATAAAGTTCTTTTGCTTTGCTGTGCAAAAGACTGCTCTCATTCAAACTACAATCGAGGCCCATAATAAAATATCCCATTATTCTGACAGGCCCAGGTGTTACCCTACATATAATAACCCAAATTTCATGGTTTGTAAAAAAGCCTTGTGCAGAGCTATCACAGCTGACTTTGAAATTAATGCAACTTCATTAATAGCTTGGCAGACCCCAGTACTCCCAAATCAGAAACAGGAGGGACAGAAGTATCAGTTCACAAATTTAGAAGTCATTTTATTATCTTCTTTGAGGAAAAATCTAACCATTTATAGCCACCCATGAGAATAGCACATTAAGTGTATAATATACATACCTAAGCAAAATCAAACCAGAAACTTTTTTTTTTTGGCCGTTGGGAAGTACTTTCTCCTCCAACATATGGCACAGCCTTCAAAAACCAAGGTTTAAAAAGTCAATTAATTCCTTTTTCCTAAGTCCAAGCAATTAAGAGACTGTTTTATATTCCTGACAAGTTACCTTTGCAAAAGTGCACAACATGATTTTTGAGTCTTATTTAGAGAACATAAAAAGATGCTGACAGAAGCCTTTCGTCAGAAAATACTCATCCATCAAAAAAATCATG